ATTTTTTATTTTTTTATTTTTTATTTTTTTGAGATGGAGTCTGTCTCTGTTGCCCAGGCTGGAGTGCAGTGATGCAATCTCAGCTCACTACAAGCTCTGCCTCCCGGGTTCAAGTGATTCTCCTGCCTCAGCCTCCCGAGTAGCTGGAACTACAGGTGCACCCCACCATGCCCAGCTAATTCTTGTATTTTTGGTAGAGACAGGGTTTCACCATGTTGGCCACGATGGCCTCGATCTCTTGACTTCGTAATCCGCCTGCCTCGGCCTCCCATAGTGCTGGGATTACAGGCGTGAGCCGCCTCACCAGGCCCAAGGACTTCTTAAACTATGTAATACCATCCCCGACCTTGCAAAAGACATTCTCTTTATCCAGGTTCCCTTGGATTTTAATTGAAAACTGTTGTTGTTGAGCAGCTTTAGCTTTTCTTTGGATTTGAGTATAGGAATTTCTTTGCAGATAAATTGTTTTTTGGACTAGAATACCAAGCTCTTGTTTTCCATAAGCCATATAAATAGTACCAAAATCACAAACATATTAAGCATTTTCTTCTTTTTTTTTTTTTGGAGACAGAGTCTCACTCCGTCGCCTAGGCTGGAGTGCAGTGGCGCAATCTCAGCTCACTACAAGCTCCACCTCCCGGGTTCACACCCTTCTCCTGCCTCAGCCTCCCGAGTAGCTGGGACTACAGGTGCCCACCACCTCGCCCGGCTAATTTTTTGTATGTTTAGTAGAGACAGGGTTTCACCATGTTAGCCAGGATGGTCTTAGCCAGGATGGTCTCGATCTCTGACCTCATGATCCGCCCGCCTCGGCCTCCCAAAGTGCTGGGATTACAGGCGTGAGCCACCGTGCCCGGCCCATTCTCTTCTTTAATCTGATTAAGAGTCATGAAAATAATACAGCCGATATCTCTGATTAAATTTAATTAGTGTTAAGCGCAGAGAGGAAGTACAGTTTGGGTGCCTTCTGCTACAGTGTTTGAAGCTATGTAATAGGTGTTTTTTGCAGCTTCCAGAAGGGATGTATCTCCCTTTTTCAGCCGAGACTGTCAGGTTTTTGCCTATAATTTAATTATTGCTTTTTTTTAAATTTAAAAAAATTTTCTTTTACTTTTTAAAAAAATTATACTTTAAGTTCTGGGATACATGTGCAGAATGTGCAGGTTTGTTATATAGGTATACATAATTCTTGCTTTTAGAGCAGTATGGATTAGGGGATTATCCGATTCTTATTGATTTTTTTGTCAATTCTTAATTCCAGTTTCTTTTTTTTTTGAGGTGGAGTTTCGCTCTTGTTGCCCAGGCCGGAGTGCAATGGTGCGATCTTGGTTCACCACAACCTCTGCCTCCCGGGTTCAAGTGATTCTCCTGCCTCAGCCTCCTGAGTAGCTGGGATTACAGGCATGTTCCACCACGCCCAGCTAGTTTTGTATTTTTAGTAGAGGGGGGGTTTCTCCCTGTTGGTCTCGAACTCCCGACCTCAGGTGATCCGCACACCTCGGCCTCCCAAAGTGCTGGGATTACAGGCGTGAGCCATTGCTCCTGGCCTCTTTTTTTTTTTTTTTGAAACAGAGTCTTGCTCTGTCACCCGGCTGGAGCACAGTGGCGCAATCGTAGCTCACTGCAGCTCCAAACTCGTGGGCTCAAGGGATCCTCCTGCCTCAGCCTCCTGAGTAGCTGGGACTGCAGGCCTGGCTAATTTTTAAAATTCTTATACAGACAGGGTCTTCCTGTGTTGCTTAGGCTGGTCTTTGACTCCTGACCTCTAGGGATCCTCCCATGGCAGTCTCTCGAGTCCCTGGGAATACAGACATGAGCCACCACCTGGGATTACAGGCATGAGCCATACCTGTCTCATTTTGTTTTTATACAATTTAAAATATTTGTATGGTTTTATTGTATCATGACTTTCATATGAAAAACTATAAGAGTATTTATATGACTTCTTTTTGTAGAAGTCCTGTCTTCGAAACAAATTGTTTATCATAATGTTTGCACTTTTAAAAACAAGTTATTTATTTAATTTAGAAGATGCTACTAGAAAAATATTTTTGAAATTTTGTGGCTTATATTCTGCTACAGCAGGTGTACACTTTTGTGAAGTTCATGTGAAGATGTAATAATGTACTCCTTTCTTATTCTTAAGAGACAGGATCTTGGTCTGTTGCCCAGATTAGAGAGCAGTGGCAAAATCATGGCTCACTGCAGTCTCGAATTCCAGGTCTCAAGTGATCTTCCTGCCCCTACCTCCTGAGCAGCTGGGACTACAGGTGGGAGCCACCATACCCAGCTAATTAAACAAATTTTTTTGTAGGCTGGGCACAGTGGCTGACGCCTATAAATATAGCACTTTGGGAGCCAAGGCAGGTGGATTGCTTGGGCCCAGGAGTTCCAGACCAACGTGGGCAACATGGCGAGACCCTGTCTCTACGAAAAATATAAATATTAGCTGAGCAAGGGGTTGTGCGCCTGTAGTCCCAGTTACTGGGGAGGCTGAGGTGGGAGGATCACCTGAACCTTTGTAGAGACATGGTCTTGCTCTGTTGCCCAGCTGTCTCGAAGTCCTAGCCTTAAGTGATCCTCCTGCCTTGGCCTCCCAAAGTGGTATTACAGGTGTGAGCCACCATGCCTGGCCTAATTTACTTCTTTAGGATGTTCTAAAGCAAAGCTTTTTCTGATTGGTTAAGAGTAAAGTTTTGTTGTTGCTTTTAAGTCTAATTTAAAATGTATTAAACTAATATGCAGTAGTATTTGTAAACTTTTTCATATATTAAGAGTTGACAGTTATGTTACCGGTGGAGGAAAATGTCCATTTGGATACTGAATTTTTTTCCCATTTGGAACAGGATAACCTACCAAGGAAGTGAGCCAAACACTGTCTACCTTTCAGAGTAAGAGCTGGCTGGGCACGGTGACTCATGCCTGTAATCCCAGCTCTTTGGGAGACTGAGGCAAGAGGATCACTTGAGCCCAGGAGTTCAAGACCAGCTTGAGCAACATAAGGAGACCCTATCTCTACAAAGAATAAAAACAGATTAGCCAGGTGTTGTGGTGCACACCTGTGGCCCCAGTTACTGGGGAGGCGGAGGTGGGGAGGATCTCTTGCGCCCAGGAGTTGGAGGTTGCAGTGAGCTGTGATTGTGCCACTGGGCTCCAGCCTGGGCAGCAGAACAAGACCTTGTCTCAAAAAAAACAAAAACAAAAACAAAAACAAAAACAGTAACAATGTTCTAGAAACACATTAAGGACACTTAACCCAAAGTGCAGAGGTTGGAGTCAGGGAAGGCTTCTTTGAGAAACTGGTCATTGAGATGAGCCTAAAAGAGAGTGGAAGTTGTGAGGCAGATGGAGCCTGAGGTCGGGGGGCTTCAGCATTGCAGCAAGGTTGCCTGTGGAGTGCAAGGGCACAGTGGTAGGAGGGGGGGTCAGAGCTGTGGGAGGGGCTGGCTGCGGACTGCATGCCTCTCCCTACGACTGAATTGAGCATCCTGTGAAAGATTTGCAGTGCAGGAGGGACACAGACTAATTTGTGCTTTGGGAAGGACACTCTGGCTGTGTGTGTATAGCAGCAATGAAGGGAAGGGGGTGCAGAGTGGGGAGTCGAGACTAGGCGGAGGCTGCTGAGGTGACTGCTGTTGGGATGGGAGGAGCAGCTCAGATGCTTTCTTTTCTTTTTTTTTTTTTGTTTTTTTTTGAGACGGGGTCTCACCCCGTCCCCCAGGCTGGAGTGCAGTGGCGTGATCTCGGCTCATTGCAACCTCTGCCTCCTGAGTTCAAGTGATTCTCCTGCCTCAGCCTCCTGAGTAGCTGGGACTACAGGCACCCGCCATCACGCCCAGCTAATTTTTTGTATTTTTAGTAGAGACAGGGTTTCACCATGTTAGCCAGGATGGTCTCCATCTCCTGACCTCGTGATCCGCCTGCCTCGGCCTCCCAAAGTGCTGGGATTTCAGGTGTGAGCCACTGTGCCCTGCCAGATGCTGTCTTTTCTTATGGTGAGGGTCTGTTAGCAGGGGCCATCCTGACACTGCCTTGTGGCCAGGAAGGAGACAAACGAAGGCTGGCATTTCTCCTTCTTTCTGCATCTGCCTTACATCATGATCTTTATTCCAAACATATGTAGAATGGAAAAGCTAAATTCCAGAGTAACAAAGAGTTTGTAACTCGTTAGAGTTAGACATGATAGGATTTAACATTATATTGAGATGTGTCAGTAACATTCATTTACTTAAAAAACGTCACATCCTCTGGATTTCCAAAGGAGTTTTATTCTTGATAAGACTGCTTTCTCGATGAGGGAAAGTTTAATCCAGCTGCAGTTTTTCTTTTTTAAAAAAATCATCTGTCTTAAGAAATATAACATTTAAAGATTAGAAGTATTTAAAAATGATAAAAGGAATATTTTGGTACAGTTGCTTTGGCTTCTGAGTTGATAGGGACTCAGAAGCCTTTGCATTATTTAATAGCCTATCATTGCCAATGTTTAAAGAGCTGTTAGTGGGCACCCCAGGCCCTGCCCTCTGAACGCTTTCCTAAAGCTTGCCCTGAAATAGTGAGGATAAACGTCTTATTTGCTAAAGCCAAATGGTTGGCTAATAAGACGCAGCCTAGCTCTCTTTATAAAATAATAATAAGTTTGATGTTAAGAAGTGGAAGATAGTTGATTTTTTTAAAAAGCTGAAACATAGACTTCTTTATGCTAATGTTACAACTGAAAAATCTAAAAAGAAAAATCCAACTCTAACATTGCCTACGTGAAATACATGGTAGAAGTCCTTATGTACCTATCACCTTTAAAAAAATTGCTTGGAGTACATTTTTGAAGTCAAGACCACTCCGGCTCACATAACTGGCAATGATTATTGCTGACTTAAAATTATAGAGCCTACAGTTGCCTTCTTAGCATTTTTAGTAGTGAGAGAATTGAATAGTGCTTAGTCAGAGTGCTTTCTGGGTGGGAGTTGTATAGTAATAAGGATACATTTTCATTTATTTTCTAGACATTACAAGAAGCGGTGCCAAGGCCGCATGCGGAAGCACGTGGGGGACCTGTGCCTGCAGGCAGGGATGCTGCAGGACTCCCTGGTACATTACCACATGTCAGTGGAGCTGCTGCGTTCTGTGAATGACTTTCTGTGGCTTGGAGGTAAGATGAGCTGATGAAGATGATCTGATATGTAATTGTTTCAACTGTTATTTAAAATGAGAGGCTGGGCTTGGTGGCTCACGCCTGTGATCCCAACACTTTGGGAGGCTGAGGCGGGTGGAACATGAGGTCAAGAGATTGAGACCATCCCGGCCAACATGGTGAAACTCCGTCTCTACTAAAAATACAAAAATTAGCTGGGTGTGGTGGTGGCACCTATAATCCCAGCTACTCGGGCGGCTGAGGCAGCAGAATTGCTTGAACGAGGAGGCAGAGGTTGCAGTGAGCCGAGGTTGTACCATTGCACTCCAGCCTGGCAACAGAGCGAGACTCCGTCTCAAAATAAATAAATAAATAAAAGAAATGAGAGGAAATGGAAAAAGAAAGTCCCCAAAAAGGAGCGATGAGGGAGGAAAAGCAGGCAGCCTGTGGTGGTTGCCATGAGCAGGCAACCTGGGGTGCTTCCCTGCCGTATCTGCTGCCCTCCTCCCGCCGTGCCATGTGTCCTCTGAAGGAGGCCCTGTCCACGCTTTCCCTTTTTCTCTGTTCTTAGTTTAACTTGCCCTCTGCTTTGGATGCCATTCCCCGTGATGTTCACCTCTTAGACTCATCCCTCAAAACTTCCTCCATGTGTCACATGATGAATGGATAAACGAAATGTGGTATGGGCATACTGCGGAATATTATTCTGCCATGAAAAGGAGTGAAATTGTGATACCACTGCAGCACGGATGAACCTTGACGACTTTGTGCTAAGTGAGAGAAGCCAGACATGAAAAAGGCCACAGATTGTATGGTTCTATTTATATGAAGTGGCTAGAATAGGCAAATCTATAGAAGCAGAAAGTAGACGACTATTTCTAGGGGCTGGGAAGAGGGGGAATGGGAAGTGACTGTTAACGGGCATAAGGTTTCTTTTTGGGGTGACGAAAATGTTCCAGAGTCAGATAGTGGTGATGGTTGCACAGTTGTGAATGTACTAAAAACTGCTGACTTGTACACTTTAAGTGGGTGAATTATATGGTGTGTGAACTCTATGTCAATCTTAAAAATTAAAAGAAAGGCAAGAAGAAATCCTACTTCAAAGCACAGCCATCTCCGATCCCCCACAGCAGTCGGCAGAGCAGGTGCTCTACCTGAGATGTTGCCGACACTCTGTGCTGGAATTGGATGTCTGTGTGTGGTCTTCCCTTTGGGGACTGCGCCTCCTGGGGGTGGTCCTGGGAGGATGGACTGGCTGTGTCCATTGCCTGACATGTTGCAGATGCTCCCTAAATGCTTGTTAAAAGAACAATGTGTGAGTAAGGACTAAAGCAGGGTTCTTTCGTTGAAGTTGACAGTTTAACAAGGACGCCTGTCAACCACTTAATGATAATACAAGTCAGAATGAAGTAATGACGTGAGTTCTGCAACAGAAGTTTAATGAGGTGCTGTAGAACATATTAAATACAACAAATTCTTTCTTTCTTGGGGACAGAGTCTTGCTCTGTTGCCCAGGCTGGAGTGCAGTGGCATGATCTTGGCTCACTGCAATCTCCGTCTCCTGGGTTCAAGTGATTCTCCTGCGTCAGCCTTCTGAGTAGCTGGGACTACAGGCATGCACTACCACACCTGGCTAATTTTTGTATTTTTAGTAGAGATAGGGTTTTGCTATGTTGGCCGGGCTGCTCTTGAACTCTTGACCTCAGGTGATCTGCCTGCCTTGGCCTCCCAAAGTGCTGGGATTACAGGCATGAACCACTGTGCCCAGCCAAATATAAGAAATACTTCAAATGGCCAGGCACAGTGGCTCATGCCTGTAATCCCAACACTTCTACAAAAAATAAAAAATAAAAAAACCTTACTTCACCTCACTTCTACAAAACAAAATTAAAAAACATTAGCTGGGTGGAGACCAGCCTGAGCAACATAGGGAGTCCTCACTTCTACAAAAATAAATACATAAATAAACTAATTAAAAAACATTAGCTGGGCTTGGTGGTCTGTGCCTGTAATCCCAGCTACTTGTGAGGCTGAGGCAGGAGGATCGCTTGGGCTCAGGAGGTCAAGGCTGCAGTGAGCCATGATCGCACCACTGCACTCCATCCTGAGCAAGAGTGAGACTTTGTCTCTTAAGAAAAAACAAAAACAAAACTTAAAATGGACTTAAATTTAGTTTTTTAAATAGGCTAGAGAAATAAAAGTGGGAAAGAAAGGGAGTGAGCATTAGGGATGGGAAAGAAAAGAGAAGCCGATAAAGGATTAAGCAGGCTGAGAAAGACATAGTTTTACTTGGTTTTCTTGAAAGAGCGCTGTCTCCCTAAGTACTCCTTATTGTATCGATTGGAGAATCTATGCGTCTCCCAGTGGGCTCTGAGACTAGGGCCTGTGCAGCAGGTGCTTCTCCAGAAAGACTGGTACCGCCCATATGCCTTCCCCATGCGGCGCTGGACTGGATCAGGAGGACTCCTTAAGGGCACACGGAGAAGGACGGTGCTGTGTGCCATGGGTCTCTTCCATGCTCAGCCCCTCAGAAGTGGACAGGGGAGTTGTCCAGAAGCTACTTATGCCTGACATCACAGCAGACTGAATGTAGAAGCCGATAGAAGATCCAGCTAACTTGTATTAACTCTGACATTAAAGAAATATATGAACATGTCAAACAATGCCATTCCTCCAGTATTTTATTTTTGTTTTGGAACACAATTATCTTTCATAAAAATGTTAACACATGACAAGCTTATTATTTTATTTTTTATTTTTATTTTTTTGAGACAGAGTCTCACTCTGTTGCCCAGGTTGGAGTGTGATGGCGTGATCTCAGCTCACTGCAACTTCCATTTCCCAGGTTCAAGAGATTCTCTTGCCTCAGCCTCCCGAGTAGCTGGGGCTACAGGTGTGTGCTATCATGCCCAGCCAATTTTTGTATTTTTAGTAGAGTTGGGGTTCACCATGTTGGCCAGGCTGGTCTTAAACTCCTGACCTCAAGTGATCCACCCACCTTGGCCTCCCAAAGTGCTGGGATTACTGGCATGAGCCACCATGCCTGGCCTATTTTAAAAGGAATTAATACATAAATACTTAAATCCTTTTCTCAGTTTTATTTTCTAACATGGTAAATATCTACAGGTGTAACCCATATCACAAAAAAAGCTCTTTGTGATCCTCATTTTTAAGAGCATCAAGGAGTTTTTAGAGCAAAAGTTTAAGGGCCACTGAATTAATGGATAAAATTGATAGAGATGAATACTGAGGCACACCTTATAAGGCATGTGGCATAGCTGGAGATTGTTAGGTTGTCACGCCATGAGAGAAGAACGGGCTGCGTAGCGAGTTGATATGGCTGTTTTTGAGGAAGAGGGAGGTCTACAGCCTCAAAAGGAGCAGATGCCTAGGGGGCGCGTGGTCTGGAAAGGCATTCTGGTCTTGCTTTGGTGCTATTACTGTGAACTATTTTCAGTCCAGAGCACTTTCCGTTATACATCTCTGTATACAGCTCCAGAAGCTGGCGCAGTCTGCCGCACAGTCTGTGTAGGATTGCCGGCCGTGTGAATGGATGAACACAGAGGCTGGCCTGTTTCACGCGTGCACTCAGCCCTGCAGGGAAGCCTCGAGTGTGGTGAGAGTGTTCTGTGTTGCCTGCCTGGACATGGGCATGGGAAAGACAGGCGGCAAGTTCCCATTTGCAAAAAACTGGTGATCTTTAGGTTTGAAATCTGTTTTGGGAGAAAAATTGGCTTTTCCAAATAATCCACCTGTTTAAATCATTCTTAGCCCCTGCAGTTTGAGCTAATGATGGGTCACTGACTTGCCTAATGATGCTGGTTTTTGTTTTTTGTTTTCTTAATGCCCAGCTGCCCTGGAAGGATTGTGTTCGGCTTCTGTCATCTATCACTATCCTGGCGGAACCGGTGGGAAGAGTGGAGCTCGGAGGTTCCAGGGCAGCGCACTTCCTGCTGAAGCAGCCAACAGACACCGGCCAGGTGAGCTCTGCCCTTTTTCCGGCCTCTGCTCACTTGCAGTCTTTAAATAAAGCAGACTCATTTGCTACTTTTTTCTTTGAGTTAGGACTAATATTTAAATAAACTGTAAAATCTGTTGAGTCAGAAATCTTTTTTCTATTTTATTTTATTTTCTATTTTTTTTTTGAGACGAAGTCTCGCACTGTCACTTGAGCTGGAGTGCAGTGGCGCGATCTCGGCTCACTGCAACCTCTGCCTCTCAGGTTCAAGTGATTCTCCTCCCTCAGTCTCCCGAGTAGCTGGGATTACAGGTGCCCACCACCATGCCTGGCTAATTTTTTGTATTTCTAGTAGAGACGGGGTTTCACTATGTTGGCCAAGCTGGTCTCGACTGCTTGACCTCATGATCCACCCGCCTCGACCTCCCAAAGTGCTGGGATTACAGGCATGAGACACCGTGCCCTGCCCAGAAATCTTGTATGAGACATTTTGTTCTGATTTTATTGAATATTTTCAATCTTATTGAATACACTAATGGGTTAGAATGATTAATTTCTGGAATAATTGTGTAAAATTTCCTGGTATAACAGACTGGAGGTTCTGTGCCTAAGTCTTTTTATAATTTTATGTATTAGGAGAAGCTAGTCCCAGAGGTCAATTTTAACGCTGATTGAGGGCCTGGGAGCAGTTTCTTATTTATTTATTTTTTTTGAGATGGAGTCTTGCTCTGTTGCCTAGGCTGGAGTGCAGTGGCGCAATCTTGGCTCACTGCAAGCTCCGCCTCCCGGGTTCACACCATTCTCCTGCCTCAGCCTCCCTAGTAGCTGGGACTACAGGTACGCGCCACCGCGCCCGGCTAATTTTTTGTATATTTAGTAGAGACGGGGTTTCACTGTGGTCTCGATCTCCTGACCTTGTGATCTGCCCACCTTGGCCTCCCAAAGTGCTGGGATTACAGGTGTGAGCCACTGTGCCTGGCCGCAGTTTCTTATTTTATTGGCTGGTGACGTTCTCTCAATGAGTCGTTTGATTTGCTTATGCTTGGTAGAACCAATGAAGAGTGAAAAAGCTTCTTGGGCAGAGCAGACCCATGAATGCTGAATGAACATGAATGTTTTGGTCCTTGATGAATGAACCTGCCTTTAATAGCTCAGGATTAAGTCGTCATGTTGCATAGGTCACATAGATCATACCAAATAATGCAGAGCTCCAGGCCATACACAAAAATGCTAGGAATTTTTTTTTTTTCTTTGTCCGTGAGATTTTTGTACATTTTTCCCTCCAGACAAAAAAAGGTAGTTAATGTGTATTGGATGGGGAATGTCTTGCATTTCTTTTTCCATGAATTGTATTATCCCGTATCAGCAGCAGAGAATGCAGAGGCTGCCTTGATGAGCTAGTGACTGTAGCCACACTGTCTGAAGTCACATGCTGTCTATGTAGATTTGCTTAGATGAACTAGAATGATTCTTGAAGACAATTTTATTGTTCTGTCGTGGGACATTCCTCTTGGTAGCATCTCAGTTATTGAAGAGGAAAGTGAGGCAGGCTGAGGGTGCTGTCGAAAGTCTGAAGGTTTAAACAGGCAGGTCCCTGCTGCTTGCGTCCTGTACTGTGACCTGACTTGGATGCACCCCATTAGTGTCCACCACCTGTGTTTACTCCTCATGGTTATAATTGCTGTCTCTGGTATGAGATGGCAGTGGTTTAAGTTTCACTGTTTTCTTTAGTCGGCAACCAAGTGCTAAAATCTCCAACACATCCAGAAAGGTGAAAGCAGGTTTAATTTTCTCTTTCAAAGAAAGTTTTCTGGGTTGGGTGCGGTGGCTCACGCCTGTAATCCCAGCACTTTGGGAGGCTGAGGAGGGCAGATTACTTGAGGTCAGGAGTTTAAGACAAGCCTGGCCAACATGGTAAAACCTCATGTCTACTAAAAATGCAAAAATTAGCTGGCCATGGTGGAGCATGCCTGTAATCCCAGCTACTTGGGAGGCTGAGGCAGGAGAATTGCTTGAAACTGGGAGGGTGTCAGCTGGAATCACGCCATTGCACTCCAGCCTGGCCTGGGTGACAGAATGAAACTTTGTCTCAAAAAAAAAAAAAGTCTCTGTTCTCTCTAGGAGCGCCTTTCTTTTTTTTTTGAGATGGAGTTTTGCTCTGTTGCCCAGGCTAGGGTGCAATGGTGTGATCTCGGCTCACTGCAACCTCTGCCTCCTGGATTCAAGCAATTCTTCTGCCACCCGAGTAGCTGGGATCACAGGCGCCCGCTACCATGCCCAGCTAAGTTTTGTAGTTTTCGTAGAGATGGGGTTTCACCATGTTGGCCAGGCTGGTCTCAAACTCCTGAGCTCAGGTATCCACCTGTCTCAGCCTCCCAAAGTACTGGGATTTCAGGTGAGAGCCACCGCACCCGGCTTAGGAGTGCCTTTCATTGGAGGTGGTTAGGTATTTTTTTTTGCTTTTTATTTTTTTAAACTGTGGTTTGAAGAGCTGTAAATGTGTTGAAACTGTTTCACCGATGTGATGAGTAAGACCAGAAACTTTTTAGGGCCACATTTTATTTCTTCCATTTCCTAATTACGGGCAAATAAAATTTAAAGACATTGAAACACTGCTTTGTCTGTAGTAGAGAAATGTCTTCATTTAGATTTGCATAGAGTAAAAAACTTGGGAACTTTTTTCTGTTGAAGACATTCTGTGGGGAAGAATATCTGGTGACAATGACACTTAGATGACAGGAGAAAGGGCAATGGGGCTGTCATTTAGAAACTTGGTAGGTTGGGCATGGTGGCTCATGCCTGTAATCCCAGCACTATGGGAGGCAGAGTGGGGAAGATCACTTGAGGTCAGAAGTTTGAGACTAGCCCAACCAACGTGTGAAACCCTTCTCAGCTAAAAATACAAGAATTAGCCAGGCGTGGTGGCTCATGCCTGCAATCCCAGCTACTTAGGAGCCTGGAAGCAAGAGTGCTTGAAACCATGAGGTGGAGGTGCAGTGAGCTGAGGTGCAGCACGCACTGCACTCTCAGCCTGGGCAATGATGCGACGTTCTGTTTAAAAACAAAAACTCGTAGTTTCGGGCACCATGCTCATGCCTATAATCACACACTTTGGGAGTGCCTACCGGGGGGGAGATCACTGAACCCCTGGCGTTCTACACCAGACTGGCAACATAGGGAGACCTCATACCCACCAGAAATTTAAAATATTGGAGTGGGGCATTGCACCTGTATCCTCACTTAGGAGGCTAGGTGGAGGACTAGCTTTGAGACCCAGGAGATTGAAATGTAGTGCGCTGTATTGCAGCCACTGCATCCGCCCTAGGTGACAAAGCGAACAGCTTTCATAAAAAAAAAAAAAAAAAAAAAATTATAAAGCTTGGCAATTATTTGACTACCTTCGAGGCAATACAGCATCCAGATCTGTTAATGGGCATGATCTCAGGAACAGATATGCCATCTCATCTTGGACGTTAATCTCAAGATTAGTCAGTGTGTAGTGGCAGCCTCATCTCACATCAGGAATTAATGGCCTCTGTTGTTTGAGATGAAGACCAACCTGATGATTTAACATCCTCCCTTGTATTTCATGGAATGAATATCTTAGGTCCCAGTTTCAGCAGCAAAACAGCAAAAATACGGATGTCAGTCAATATCAGTGTAACCTGCAGCAAGTTGTTTAGTCTCTTTGTGCCTCAGTTTTCTTTCTTTCCTTTTTTTTTTTTTTTTTTTGAGATGAAGTTTCACTTTTGCTGCCCAGGCTGGAGTGCAACGGTGCAATCTGGGCTCACTACAACCTCCGCCTCGTGGGTTCAAGCGATTCTCCTCCCTCAGCCTCCGAGTAGCTGGGATTACAGGCACCTGCTACCACGCTCAGCTAATTTTTTGTATTTTTAGTAGAGGTGGGGTTTCACCATGTTGTCCAGGCTGGTCTCGAACTCCTGACCTCAGTTGATCCCCACGTTGGCCTTCCAAAGTGCTGAGATTACAGGCGTGAGCCACCACGCCCAGCCTAGTTTTCTTTTTTCTCTTTTCTTTTTTGAGATGGGGCCTTGCTCTGTTGCTTAGACTGGAGTGCAGTGGTGCGATCTTAGCTCACTGCAACCCCTGCCTCCCAAGTTCAAGCAATTCTCGTATTTCAGCCTCCCGAGCAGCTGGGACAACAGGTGTGTACCACCGTGCCTGGCTAATTTTTTGTATTTTAGTAGAGACAGGGTTTCATCATGTTGCCCAGGCTGGTGTTGAACTCCTGAGCTCAGGCAGTCGGTCTACCTCGACCTCCGAAAGTGCTAGGATTATAGGCATGAGCCACTGCGCCCAGCGCTATGCCTCGGTTTTCTTATCTGTAAAATGGGGAAGATAACAGTAGTCCCTACCTCATACGGTTGTTGTGAAGGTTGACTGAGTTACACGTATGAAGGTCCTAGAATCCTCCTCACCAAGCACTTGGTAATGTTAGCAGCTATTGTTATTATTATTATTATTTCTTGAGCCCAGGGTCTGTGTTGCTCAGGCTGGAGGCAGTGGTGCACTCACTGTACTCACTTACTCACTGCAGCTTCCACCTCCTGGGCTCAAGGGATCCTCCTACCTCAGCCTTCTAAGCAGTTAGAACTATAGGTGCATGCCACCATGCCTGGCTAAATTTTTTTGTATTTTTTGTAGAGGTTTTGTCATGTTGCCTAGGCTGTCTCAAGCTCCTGGGCTCAAGTGATTGGTCCACCTTGGTCTCTCAACGTGCTGGGATTACAGGTGTGAGCCACTGCACCTGTCTTTATTATTACCCATATTATTATTGCTGATTATCAAATAGTAACATGAATTCAGGAATACTATGAAAAGACTCTAGACAGCTCAGGTCCAGGTTCCGTAGTTTTCAAACAGTTTCCTATGAGAAAGGGAAGTTTTATTTCTTGTTAAAACTGAGTTATCTTAGTTTATTTTTTATTTTTAAATTTTTTTTGAGATGAGAGTCTCACTCTTTTGCCCAGGCTGGAGTGCAGTGGCGTGATCTTGGCTCAC